CCCCTATCTCTTCTCTTTTCCCTACCTACATCAAAATGGATGGAAGAGCTTTTTGTTTTTCTTTTAGGAGTATAGCATCGTAAAAGCAGACAAGCCTAAAACTCACCTTCCAGCATGACATACTCTTTTTGTACAGTCAGTGATGGTCAGAATTTGGGTCTATTTCAAAGCTCATGACTCCTCCATGGGTCAGCAGCAGCAGGACACTAATTTGCACCTCAGCTTCACATTTTAAACATGAAATGACATCTCCTGAGCTTTCCTTTCTTCAAATGAAAACAGATTCATAATTACTTCCAACAACAGCACAAGACGGACAGTGTGTGTCCCCCAGCGCAGTCCCTCCTGCTATACCATTCATATTGTCACCCAGTCAGGGCTCAGAGTCTCCTCTGTGTTACACAGGCCCATCTGTAACAACACACTGATGAAACACAACAGCAGCAACTGAGGGGACTTTCAGACATCCTGCACACCACAAATTCTTGCATTCATTTTAGAATTCTTCTTGGCCCACACTGCCAAGCAGAATAAAGACTTTAATTTAGCCCACAAAAAGGCTGAGGTCAGCACTGGACACTGCCCAATTCTTTTCAAGAGACCACACTGAAAACAAACTAGTGCCCTATATATATATATACACACATATACACACACACACTCCCCTCTAACCTGGCATGGTTTCATAGCACATCTGTTATGGGCACATACGTATCCTAAGCTCTCGTAAACAGAAGTCACATCTCGTTAGTTCAGTGACCGAGACTGAAAATTACAGCCAGACACATTTCCCCTGGTTGCAGAACGTGCAAATGCAACCAGAAGTTTACCGAACTTGGAGTCAGATTTCTAGAGGGGCACTGCTGAGATTCACACCACCACAAATACATCTCGTAAGAGGATGCTCTGTCATCCCCTGCTTCCCCGCTCCCTCCTTAAAATGCCAATAAGGCAGGCAGACGCTTTGCTTCCCTCCAACCCAGCAACAGCCTTCAAGAGCTCAGCGAGACATCCACTTGTCCTGTGTCCCTCTGCCCTAACCATCTGCTGTCTGCCCCCATACCCTATGGCTGCCACTCAAAAAACACCGCAATTCAGGTGCAATCCCTATTCCAGAAAGTTCACTTGCTGGAACAGTGCTCCGAGCACAAGCAGCCTTTGCCTTCACGTTGTCAGGTGCCTGGCTGGGGTTAAGTGAACTCCTTCCTGCAGCTGCACAAAAACCACATCAGAAAGTGACAGGCGGGAACATGACTGCATGGAATATTAGT